TGGAAGCAGAGGAAAGGAAAACGGCCAGTCGGCGCCAACACGTCCCGGCCATGACTCATACACGCGAGTCTCGGACCGTGACAAGCAAGTTGTGTCGCTGCTTCCTCACCAAAAGGGCCCCTGATTCTGAGAAGATGCCCATGTCTGGGGCCCGGGAGATGGGAAGGCTTTCCGTGGCCACGTGTTCAAGAACCTGGCTGAGGAACCCCGAATGCGGGCTTGAGAAGCGCTCCCCACTCTCCGCAGGCAGAAAGAAACCTGCCTCCCGAAAAACATGAAACAGGTACGTGCCAGGCTGTCCCAGTTACTGCCCGCTCAGAGTGCGAAGGGTCCGTGAAACTTCTTAGGCCGGAGTAGAAACACTACAGAATCTGGCTTTCTATGGAGAAACTAACACCCGTCCCTTGGCCGTTTCTGTGACGTGAAGAGACGTCAAGTTTCTACATAACGACGTAACCACCTGTGAAATTTTCCTTCTCGAGGTGTGGACTAATGCCGATAATACCAAATTTCTGGTATTGAAAAACCACCGTTGATCTAAACGATAGAATAGCTGGTTGTTTCACCGGGGGGAGGTGGGGAATAAGCTTACCGAGGAATAGCACAGGAATGGCGTTCGCGGACCTTGAACCCACAGCGCGCTTAGGAACTTGCTGACGACGCGGAAGAGCTTAAGTGGGTGGGCTAGTAGGATTCTTTGCTGACAAGGCAGTTCTGGCTTCTCATTGGCCGAGCTGTGGGGCTTCTCATTGGTGGAGCTGTTGCTAGGCAGGCTAGATCTCCTAGGCGCTGTATAGCAAACACTTTTTCTTAGGCTTGCACTACTTCCTGTTGGTTCTTTAAATCAAGTGCATGTAAATGAAGGGAATCATAACACATGAGAAGACGGCTACATGAGAGCTCCCGCTATAGGTCTCTCCGACTCTAATTTTAAGTAAAGTTTATTTCGTTTTTACATTATTAAACCTGGGGCTTGGTACAGGAATACAACTGATAACTGGCACTAACCTAAAAGTGACACAGAGACCCTATCCTGCCTTTCATCCACACTCAAAGAATCTGAGCGATCGCACCAGGCTAAGGACACCGTGGGCGACAGAGCTCATTTAGTCTACTGCAGACTTGATTATTCCAGCAGTGCAATAATTTGTTTTCTAGAAAGGGTATCAGGGCACTCGTGGTGCCAGCAGTGGCCACTTCAGTTCCATAAGTATATGTCATCGATCTGCCTGTTCTGCTACGTGAATCCTCTCATGGCCCCTCCATCTCCACCCTGTACTCCAGTACTGTATGCATAAATAAGTCTTTATGAGTCATTTAATAAAAGGCAGTGATAAAGCTAAATTAAAAAATAAGACTATCAGAGAATCTTAGTAGGCCAAAACTGGGATTTGAAAACAGAGTTCAAAACTTAGGTTTAAGTTGGAAATTCAGACTCTAGACAGAAGGATATTTTCAGTGACAAATCAATTCTGACTATTTTATGTAGTTTTATGTACAACTTTCTGAAAATAGTTATCACCACCACCACCCCCAGTTGAAGGTCTGGTTTAGAAGTGTTTACCTTTCTTCCAAGTTGAACAACTTGGGGATATTTTCCTGTTTAATCAAGGAAATAAATAAGTGTTATACTCCCTTGCTAGATAATGGTCCTTCTGGAGATACCACATATCCTTAACAAGTGTTAGAGCTTGGTGTCCCCTAAAAAGTAGGACAGAGAACAAACAAATGTCTAGCTATAATATCACAAAGCATTCCAAGGTATAGATCATCTGACAATAGACCAGAGAGTATAATAATTTCAAAAAAAATCAAAGATATGCTTTGTGGAACTGATATTTATGAAGGCTAGATATCAGAAAATGGATTTGACTGAGTTTAGTATATATGCCATCTCACTACAAAACAAGTAAATGGTAGCTCAGTGAAGTGATGATGTATTAACAAACCTTGTTGTAGTAATCACTTCTCAATATATATCAAATCATGACTGTACACCTGAGACTTACACAATCTTATATGTCAATTATGTCTCAATAAGACAGGGGAAAAAATAACCTCCATGGAACTAATTTAAATGCAAACTCCACACACAATATAAAAACAAAAGCTGCAATGAAAGGTTAAACAAAATTTGGATGAAGAAGAAAATTTGGAAGAAATATAAAGCCTTTATTGCAGTTTCTGAACCAGGCAATGCCACTTTCCCATACAAATTGAAAGTGTGCCTCCCTGGATTTAGGAAGGTAAAAACCACAAAATAAGTGATAAATGCCACAAAATAAGTGTTAAATATTGCAAAATGGAAACTTAATACCAAATTGGCTGGTAAGTGAATCCAAACTAAAACTCTGTACCTATTGGTTTCCATCAGGAGATGGATGGAAGCTTTCCAGATCTTGAGTAGATATCTGCAGGGGTTTGGTACACACACACACACATGCATGCACACACACATATCCCAATATGTATGTGTATGTAAAAACAGTTGTGGACAATCTAAAATTAAGAAATGATGTCTGTACGGTATGACAAGTAGGAAAGAACTCTGAAACTAGAATAACTATGAAAATGGACTAATTTAGGACCCAGAGGCCCAAAGTGAAATGGGAACAGGGGCTGAGCATGCACCAAGCAGTCCCGGCTCTGTCTCTGGTGAATCCTCTTACCCACCACACCTCTGGCCTATACCCCAGTTCTGTAAGCATAAATAAATAAATCTTAAAAAAAAAAAAAAGATCCACATAGGCCAGTAGATCCTTGAGAACAGAAATCAGATGTCATTTAGGACTAAATACCCAGAGCTCAATGCCACTCTGTTGTAAATTATATAGGACAGGAAATCCGTCCTGTTCTCTATTCTATCTTAATCCAGAGCTGCTTAGATGAAACCCCACTAAGTAACTACTGACCATCTAAGGGTGGAATACATAACATAGCTTTAAAATAAAAAGTCTTTTTTTAATGAAAAAGCAATGGAAGACCAGCCACAGCTCTGGAGCACACCAGGCAGTAATGATCATCTCTTCCCAGATGTCTGCTGAAGCCCCCACTTGATAACATCTTGATTCCCTTGATCCTCTGGCTTCTTCTGCTTTATTGCTACACTTACTACAGAGGCTTCCCAGATGGCAAAAGCCAAAGGAAAACGGAGATTTCACACAAGGTTTACAATTGATGATAGTAAAGCCACACATTCTATAATTATTAAAATTAGTAGCCTGTTTGCCTTCAGCTTTACAAGCTATTTAACACTTTTTATTGAGAGAGACTCCACTGGTCTGTAGCAGCAAGGAGTGATGAGGCTTACTCTGATGGTGATAAGAACTTCTTAAATGGCCAATGGTGTTCATCACCCAGTCTGTGGGGATCAAATGAACTGTGGTTATTGGGGATTTTCCTCAGTGCATATACACATATATGGCATGTTTTAATAAAATTGTTTTTCTTATGTTTCATTGCTTTATAAAGTCATCATTAAAATTCATTGACAAGGCCTCCCTGGTGGTGCAAGGGGTTAAAGCACAGCACTCTGAAGTGACCCATGTTCACTGCAACGCAAGTTTGGTTCCCTCACCATGGAGTGACCCACATGGCCTCTCCTGTCTCACTCGCTGCTCCATTTTCAGTAGATCTGCCTATTCTGCTCCCCACTGTCTCTGGTGAATTCTCTCACCCTCGCACCTTTGGCCTGTACCCCAGTATTTTTATACATAAATAAGTAAATCTTAACAAAGTTCATTGACAGCCAATACCAAACTTATATGGATCAAACACTGTGAAAGCATGGCAAGGATTTATGGACTCTGAGGTAAATACACTTCAGGATGGTCAGCCCTAACACTACTCACTGCAATGCAATCACTAAATTTTGTCTAGTTCTGCATGAGAAAAGAGGACTCCATCTAAGTATTGCCACTTGATCACCAAACAGGGAACAAAACATCTCTCGGCTCTTATACTCTGTTCACTGGAAGGTTATGATTGGTGAAGGCAGAGGACAATGAATGATTCAGAGTGCATCAACAACCCCTAAATGGGCCAAGAGAACCAGTCCCCTAGAACACCTACCCCAGCCAGGGCCCAGAGATTGCAAGCTAGGAGTTGTTGCCAGCTGTGTGTGTCTTTATCAGCAGAGAGCAGCACAGCCCTAACCTCTGAGCCCCTTCCCTCAAACTAAAGCTTAGCAGAAAGGAAGGAAGCTTTTTCGGAGAGAAGAAAAGTACAAATGACAGCCTAGCTCCTTGATACTTTAGGCCCCATTTAACAAAGAATGCGGAATATGCTCCACTTTGATAACAAAATCTACAATTTTAAGAATCTAGAGTCTCTAGGGAGAGTCCAGCATGCCTACTCTGAAATTTTAATTCAAGAATATGAAGCCATATCAAATATTCAGGTATATTCTCCTCTTTAAAAAAAATCCTCGGAGGGAAGCCCAAGGGGATTACAACTGAGATGGATAAATGCACAAAATGATGTAAAAATAAACTATTATATTATTTTTAAAAATCCTAGAATATTTTGATTTTCCAACACCTCCCAAACACCTTCATAACATTTGGATTGCTTGACAGTACACATATTTTGTTAACAGCACACATAATTTTCAGTTTTAAAGAGCACCTTTGTCTTGAGCGGATTAAGCAATCATCTATAATCATCTTCATGAAACATGGTTAATTATATTTTCCCAGTGATAGATTGACCATGTAACCAAACTTGTCCTTTTCACATTACCAACCAAATTACATGTAAATGTACATTTTTATGCAGAAGCCCTTTATAACTGTATTTAGCCTTTCAGATTAGTTAGGCAGGAGGCCTCCCACTCCCTCTGTACAACCCACCCAGCACAAGAGCAGCAATTTTTTTTTTTATTTCAATACCACTATGGGTAAAAATTATGTCAAGTAAAATAGGGGTTCTTCCATAAAGGTTTAAACTTAGGGTAGAAGAGATAAACAACAGTACTAAGAGGCATGTACTTAGATACAAGTTCACCAAGACACTTCAGGTTCAAACTGGTTCATCATCATTCTCCTGCTATATTCATAGGCCAAAATTAGTGACCCATTGGCAGGGATGGCTCTAATCATAGTAGCACTCAGTCCAGAATATAGGACAGCTATTCCTTCCGTTTTGGCAATACTTAACAGAGTTCCAGTAAATCCTGCCTGTTTACCAGACATGGAAAGAACCTGAATTCTGGATTTGACACAATCCACTGGGAATACAACAAGCCAAAGGCAAATTCCAGCAATCCCACCACTTAACATCAAATGGGCAGGGCCTAGTTCATCTTTTGATCTCCCTGAGGCAAAAAAAGACCGGCTCATTTCATAGCCACCAAAGAAGCAGAAATACCCTGGTACTTCTTGCAGCAGAGTGCTGGAGAGTCCGCGGTAGAAGCCTTTAGGGCCATCATTTCTAAGAATGCTTTTCACGACGGACCAAACTGTGTTTTGGCTTTTTGCTATTTTCCCTGACATCTCCATTTCTCTCATGGCTTGTAGCCGACATTTCACAAGCTCGGTGGGGCACAGCGTCAGAGAAGCAAATGCAGAGGCAAAGGACCCAGCGGTTGCAATTTGCAGGTCACTCAGCTTGGCCTGCTTGTCCAGTCCAACAAGCCCTTTCACAAACTGTTGGCAGAAACCATAGCACATGAAAAGGACTGAGTTCTCGGCGATGTAGGCCGCCAGCGCGGGGCAGGTCCCCTTGTAAAAGCCCCGCACGCCCACATGCGAGTAGGTCTTCAGGAAGCAGTCCATGAGGCCCTTGTACAGGCGGGGGAACGTCTGCATCTTCACTTTCATTGTGTCGAAGGGCTGCCCGGTCAGAACACACACTATACCCCCAAGGGCCCCGGCTGTGAGGTCGATGGCAGCTTGGATGGCAGGATTGGACTTCATGTCCACTCACTTGTCTGCTGGTCTCCGTGGAAAGCAACTATCCGGAACCTAGGACTGGGGTCTCACGTCCCGCCGCCTAGTCTTGGTTCCCACTCTCAGATGGGAGAAGCCGGTAAACCATTCGCCAGGCCACCGGCCGCGCTCCCCGCGCACTGATTAACCCCTGGCGGGCGACCTTGCGCGCGCCCCTCTCCAGCGCGCCCAGCGCCCAGCCCCCGAGACGCCCCGGGCAGGAACCGCCCGCAGACGCA